GTCTGGTTAAACCTCAATGACGGCTCGTAGCTTTTTTCATGTGTGATGAACATTACGCTTGATGTTTTTTTCTATTTATCTGATCGCTTCGTCTTAGTTGTCAGTTAGTATTATATTGCATGAAGATGTATCTTGAGTCGCGTGATCGTTTCTTAGTATGATATATTACAATAAATATGCTCGCCGCATTGACATCTTTATGTTTTCTTGATCCTATATGATCAATGTTGTGTGCACATCTCTTTCTATAGTACTTGATTGTGTTTGAAGTTTCATCTGATTGAAGCAAGTGTTTTGAAAGTGCTATTAGTTGAAGTCCAAGTGTTACTATTCGTTTGAAAGACAAAAAGCGAATTTTGTAAATTATTATTTCCATTTAAATATTGAACTTATAGTCTATGCGTTCTGTACTATAATAAATCAGTTCCCAACGTTTGAAAAATATAACTTAATTTAAAATACTCAAATTATATTAAAAACTCGATATTGATTGTTTCTATAGAAAATTAGTCTGCTGAAAATACCTAGGAACGGCCATGAAAGACATGCATTCGAGAAGAACTACTGCTGAGATCAAAAAAGAAAGAATTCATCCACTACACGCAAGTCAAGATATCGATAAGAGTGTAACAAACATGATGGAGAAATATTTTTTCAAGTTCATAGTATCTGTCATATTCATTCGTTTTTCGTTATTTTATTAGCAAATTCATTAAATTAAGAATTTAATAGGGATGTCTATCAATTTTCATTTGCCAAATTTGAAACAGTGATCTTTATTCTGTATGACAATACTTGTTGATTATCACTAGATCAAGAATTGCACTTACCTCTAAGCGTCCATTTTTGCGATTATGTAATAAAATTTTGAGGTATTTCGTATTTTACTGTTTTTTTAGATGATACGAACGCTTTTGTTATGCTTATTAATAAATGTCAGGGTTTGGAAGATCAAGTTTGATGTCGGAGCTAGTCATCATTGGAAGACATGATTTCTCATATCAAATGAGAGTCAATTAAAATCTTGATAACCCAGCAGAAAAAAAATGAAAAAACGTGTGAAAGCGTGTAAGTTTCGACTGTTTTCGATTGTTAATGGTGGTTACCAATCGTCACCCAAAAATATTTAAAAAAAAAATGCATCTTGAAAATGATCACTGATTACACGGTGGTAAAATTTTTGACAGTTTATGCGTTACAAATTTTTAGTCATGTTGAAATCTAATATAATATGAATCATTGTTACGCAGATAGATAGCTGTGCTGCTTTACCTATTAATTTACCTACAAGCCTATCTAGTCATCAATCTATCTAACTAATCACCTGTCAACCTACTTATCTAACTAGCATACTTAACCAATTGCGTCACGATCTACTTACCGACCACACTGCTTATCAATCGACCTAACTGCTCACTCAATCCACCAGACAAAACTCTTTCTCCTTTCTTCTTTTAATCTGATTTATCTCTCTTTGATTCCTAATGAATATCGATTACAGAATGCCTTAAGTATTTGCTTTCAGTATAGTTAAGACTGATTAGAATTTGCTTCAACGAAGAACGAACGTTTTTCAATACAAGTCGGGTCTCTTCGTAGACTTGTTCATGATTTGAGTGTATTTATTTTGGATCTGTCAAAGATTTAGCTGTTGCGAGCTTATTAAGATATCTATTGTCAATTGTACAGTAGGAATTGGTTGTAGATCCTGTAGCAAATCTAGTTCAGTAGGTGAAAAAGCAGTAAGTCAATCATCAGATCTCTAACATATTAATGGTATTAAAAGGTGCACATGCTTCATTGAAGTCAACTGTAAAAAGTTATATACAATACTACAATAAAGTGCTTAAAAGATTCTTGTAACCGTGATGTGGATTATGTTGTTTAAGTATTGTATTCCTCATCTTCGATAAAAACAGATTAACATAATGAATTTAATCAACTATACTTTCGTACTAGTTTAAGATCGTGTTTTATGAAAGATAGAGGAGAAAAGACGTTTGATCAAAGGTGGAACTAACTACCTACCTGCTTACCCTATCACAGTTAAAAAGGACATCTTATTTCATTCTGGATATAAATACTTGACTTTGGCAAGTGTCAAGCTTATACTTAGGTCGGTACTCTCAGATGTTTTTTCTCCTTCCGTCTATCTTCGATTATCACGAACAACAGTAAAAGAGAATATCTAGTCAAATATGAGAACAACTTCCATGTATATAGTAGTAGAAAAGAGAAATCATTGGAAGAGAAATAGCACATGGAGAATGCAGCCAAATGGTTATAGAGTATAAGGTAAAAAGGGAAGACGATGTGGATCAGTATTGATTATGATCGATAGTTTAGGTGTGTGCAACTTTGCGTCATAATTTTTATTGCATATTTAAATCTACAACATTAAGACAAATAAGACTACAAGACAAAAATAATCGTTTGTGTCTTTTTCATATCAATTATCCTTAGGCGAATACGAAAAACAAATAACTGATTTGGTAAAGAATTTGAATTTATAAAAGTGAGAATCATTCATTGTGCTTTTTATTTTCTCCCAACTTTTATCCAGAAGTAAATAAGTTCCTCAAGACCAAGTAATCAATTTCTATAATTCTGCTGAACTAAAACTGTCTTATTATGCCATTATAAAGGCAAATAATTTTGTGATTAGTTTTTAATAACAAATTATAGTTATGAACCGTGCAATATTCAACTTGAGACCGTAATTTAAAGGAGAGTTTTATTTCTCTTTTATCGTTACAGTCAAGTCTCTTCAAAATGAGTACTGATTCGATACTTGATACACGTTTTAAATTAAAAAAAAGAACGTTTAAAAATAATATACTTTCAAATATAGAATTGATCAATTTTCTACTGTCAACTTCAATTTTCTTATTTTAAACTTATGTATAAATGTTAGTCAAAGTTAAAATTAAACTTTCCGTTATTTTAACGCATTTGGCTGCCCTATTGACATCGGCATTTGTCTTGCTTAAAATATTGTATTGCATATCGCACATATACATTCATGTTATCATCAAAGACGGAATGGAAAAAAGGAAAGCATAGAATGCAAATTGATTAACCTCTACCTCTTCTTTAAAAAAACACGTGTCTAGAAATTAAAGTCAGTCGAAAACTGTATAAAAGCGCGAAGTCTTGATACGTTCGTAATTATCTGATTTTTGACTGCTAAACACTCTTGTTTTCAGTAAGAAAATTACATTAAAGCTAAGATAAAACAGTTACTAGAAGAACAAAAAAGTGTCGGTTTGAAGATAGAATTCATTGATATTAGGTTATGTGCTATTGAAGTAGATAAGTCACTAAATGAGCATTTTCGATATTTTGAAACGAATGTTTGTGTCATTAGAAAATCGTTGAGATATCTAACAAAACTCATCTCTGAACTTGGTCATTTATTATACATTGCTAAATGAGATTCGGAAAAAAAGGAAATCGAGAGCTTGAAGCAAATCTAATGATGAAATATTGATATAAAGTATTATAACTAACGTGTATGAAATACATTCATTATCATAGATTACATATCTCCTAAACCATATTTCTTCAATGGTTGCTGAGAAAAGACTCAAATTATGAGTTTTTGCATTTTTCTTTCAAACTCATTTTTTTTCCCATGATCCAAAAGATATATATTAAAATCTTGGTATGATGCTCTGCAACAAAAGCGTTTCATTCAGTCATGACCAACCTCCTAATTCTTAGAGCTACGCATAGGCTATGTTGTTTTTAAATGTCTGTATATAAAAAAAAAGAAGGAATTGGATTCAGTACACAAAATATTTATTTTACTACTATCAAATAATATGTCACAAATTCAGAGAACTTCATGAAAGTAAATGTTTTCTATTTTATGTTTTCAAATTCTACATTAGAATATAGGATAATACTCGTATAAAAATATTAGTGCGTACGAAAGTATTGCTATTTGTATGCATGTCATTCCACACTGATGCTTTGTTGTTAAATAAAAACAACTGTTTATGAGATGACTTTGAAAGATGTCCTAAAGATTTTATCCGAAAACTTCTTTCATATGCGAAGTCGTTTGGATTTATTATGATATACAATGAATCCGTAGAAAACTAAAGATAGATTTCCTTTCCATAATAGACAAGTTTGAAGCAATTTTCCTGAAGTGTATATTTCTGAAATTTTCAGAAATCACATGAATTTTAATGAATTTCAGATAAAATTATTGTTTACGTATTTGTTTGTTTCCATGAGTCTTGGGAAATCAATTGAATAAGACCATGTATTTATTCTTATTTCTTACTATATTCATTGTAAAAGATTTATTAATCCTACTTACTAAACATGCACTATGCTTTTGTGATTAATAATGTCCTACAAGAGTGATATAGTTTTCAAAGAAGATCATTACGAATCACAAACATTTCTAAAGATTTATTATTAGAACAACATGAAAATTTCATCATTTTGTGTATAGCATGACTAGATAATGATCAATAATATTTAATAGAAATAAAATATAATCTACAATGTTCATTTCGAACAGTAGATCACTTTTTCTTCACAAATAAATTTTTCAACTAGAATAATAATATTTATTTTTAATAGTGAATTAATGAAGTTATTTAAAATATTAAATACAATTAGATTCATTACAGGATATCAGTAACTTAATTGACTGTTGATTCATGAAGAAGATATATTTTTTAGTAGTCATTTTATTTGATGATATTTTGTCAAATTTCAAAGTTTTGAGAATACGTTAAATGGTTTATGTACATGGCTGAAAACCAGTAAATGGAAGAAAAAGAAAAAGAAATTATTTCGACTGTAAATTCAGCTTGACTTGTCAAGCATTCAAATGCAAAATACTAGAAGAAAATTTTTTATTGTCTAATGAAACTATTAGTGCTGGAAGGGTAATTAGTTGCATATGTTTTTGGTATAATGAATACATATAAAAATCTATCTAAAAATTTCTTTTGAAGTGAATATTAGAGTCTAAATGTTTATGAATTAGTATGTGGATAATAAGGATCAGAATGATAAGGAGGTGCAACAAATCGTTGATAAGGAGCACTATGTTCAATTTGTACTGGTATAGATACAAAATTTTGTGATGATTCGTCATATGGTTGTTGATGATATATTGGATTGCTTCCATCATCTCGTATTGATCGAACAACAACACGTGGATGTTGTTCATGCATAGAAACCATATCTGGATGTTGTGATTCATATTGATATTGAGAATGAACTGGTGAAAAATGTGTTTCATTTTCATATGGTACATGCATACGTTCACGACTAGATTTTAATGTTCGTTGTGTTGGAAATGATGTTTCATCATCACGATTAAAATATGATGTACGATTTTCTTTTGAAGGCATTACCGACGGTGATGTTTTTCCTTGATAATCACGATTATAAAAACGATTATCACTAGTATTCAATGCATTACCACGAATTGAAGGTGAATATTGTTCCATAGTAAATTCTTTTGGACTACCCATTGTATCTGATACGTTACCAACAACAGTTGGATCAAGTTGTAATAAACGTTGTTTATCATTTGCATGTGGATCAATATTAGCTATTACTTGGGCTTTCTTGGCACTAGCTTCTTTTTTTTTCTGTAATTCTAATATAATATGATCACGTTTTTGTTTCGCTCTAAAAATTTTTTAAACCAACTGAAATATTAATACAGGAATAAAAATCATTTAACAAACCTCATTCGACGTAAGAAAAATGTAAGAACAAATAAGAATGTAACAAATCCAATTGATACCGGTATAATAATTAAATTAAGTTTATTTCTATTGCGTTCATATAATTTTACATTACCAATACGAAAAACAATTGCACCAATCACTGCATTAACTTCATCTTTTCGTCGTATTATAGCTTCTATCAATTATAAAAAATATAATATATACATAAAATAAAGTTAATTATCTTGTTTTTTTTTGAATGCTTACTAGTTATTAAATCTTTATCGATAGTATGTGGTTTATCGTCATCATCTGTGCATATACCTCGAATATTCAAATTAAGAAAACGACCATCTTGTTGTGGATATTTTTCGTCTTGTTCAAAAGAACTAAATTAATAAAATGAAAATAAAATTTCAATACTAAAAATTACTTACATTGATTTACATGCAATACCTTTTTTCTCATCAGTATATTTCAATTCAGAATCGAGTGTTTTTTCTATTTTACTTAGCATATCAGGTTTCCACTAAGAAGTATAAAATAACTGCAAAAAAATAAAAAACAAAAAATAAAACAATAACAAACCTCATGTAGTTTAAGATCCATCAAACGAAGAAGTATGTAAGGACTTTCCTCTAAATGCAAAAAGCAAAAAATAAATATATATATATATTTATTTATTTATTTATTTATCATGCATCGTTTTTTTTTGTATAGACTAACCTGTAAATTTTTGTGACTGAGTAAAGCATATAAAAAAATTTAATAAAAGAAATATAAAAATATAGTTCATTCTTTTTTAAGCAAAACCGAGGTTCAAAATTTATTCATGAAGAATTAGAGAGCGACCTGCATCTTATAACCTTGAAATGTTAATTGCAGAGTATAGTGAAAAAATATGTTGATGTTATATGAACGCCAGCGTCATGGATAAAGGGAAATACAAGGAGAAACAAGAAAGAAAAAGAAAGAGGATCTTTTGTGTTTTTTTTCTTTTTTTTTCTCTTTCTTCTCTATATTTTGAATGACATTGTGTAGTATTCATCTCCGTTCTGTATTGCATGTCAAATGCAAAAGGAAACGACCGAACGGAAGAGAAAGGAAAAGACATAAGCGTCAGGAATAAAAGATTTTTGGCTTTTCTTTCTCGTGGATAAGAAACCAAATAAGTGGAATAGAGTGCATTGTTTAGTTTCGATTTTTCTGTGATTGTCATTGAATACTTAGTCACAAGACAGCAAAATAATATGAGAATGTGAGCTTCCTTATATATTAGTCAAACTATTTATCGTTGTCATAATTACGTTAAAAATAATGTAAAAAGAGAAAGAAACATATAGGAAATGGATTCTTCAATAACAAATAGAAAGGTTATATATTGTAAATATCAATAGACGTAGTCTTGACTATGACGCATATATATATATAATAATACAAATTAGTAAAATAGAAATATTTCAGAAAAAAATAATCTAGAATTTGTTCAAACCAAAATCGATTTAAAAACAGTTTGAATTTGCAAGCAGATACGTTTGGAATGCTCATACAGAAAAAATCATATCTTCAAATCTTTGTACGTAATTCATACTTAAAAAAGGACTCATTTTTCTATATATTAATGTCAGCCAAGAAATACTCTATATACTAATACTTTGATGTTATGAATCATCTAAGAATCACTTTAATAATTCTGTATAATAGCCACAGGAATTTGTTTGAGATATAGAACAGAGAGTCTGAATGCATTATTATAATGAAATAGTAATAATGTTATTATCAAAATTATCAATTATATTCAAGAACAACATTATATTATTAAAATAAACAATTATGATATGTGGATTTCCTTGAACAGACAATAAATTTTTTCAGCATATTATTATAGTTGAAAATCATGAGAAATTAGAAAATTTTTTTTTTGGAAAAATAATGCAAATGCATAGAACTGTCACAATTCTCAAATTTTTGCCTTCGGCTTGAATCAAATTTGTCATTATTATAAATTGACAAGCCACTTGCGCATAGCAATGAGTTGCGTATTTACTCAAAAATTATTTGAAGACTTTTTTTTTTACAACAATTGATATCTATATGAAGAATTATAAGACATGAATGAACATCAGTTATTAACTCTATAATCATCAAAATCATCTATCATCAATTGATCAGTCAATATTAACTCTGACATATATATATTGTAATGGATTCACTACTATTGTTATTCTAAATCAATAAACGACTATTTAAAAACTCTTTTGTATGATTAAATGCTTTCAAATATTTTCAAACAAAACATGTTAATCATCGATGAGCGAGATCTATTAACAGATAATATATTGCGCATATTGTTGCAAGATATTCTTCTTAATGAATCACCGATATGCAGAACAAACAACGACAAATTTTGTTTTGATATGAGAAAACTATTTTAGTCTTTCTGTCGAGCATAACACGACATAAATGTTATTCGAAACAATTAAGAGCAGTATTATAATCAAACCAACGAAGATCACTTAAAAAACATTTTTTAACGATTTCAAACAAATAGCTATGGTTCTTAATGTTAGTCGCCAGATTGTTCATCTTGTTCTCGAGAATTTTTAGGTTATGGATGACAAAGAATTGCGAGTCTAAAAGAGAATTGATTTTTGGCTTTCAAACCTATGACGCAAAACATGCAAATATACTTGCTGCTCCATTATGCTTGTCAATTACTAAGAAATGATAATGATGACAAATCAACATCCATTATCCATTCAATAATTTTGATCATATTTACATGAGGTACTCATTTATTCTGTCGTCATTCATTTTTTTGAACACAATCTTGAAATACATAAGTATATCATTGTGTATTTGACACACGATTTATTTGGTGCTTGAAGAAGGTTAGATTTTTCATGATTACAACTATCCAGTATTTAATTGATTTTTCCGTTCGTTATCAATATGAATGGAAAAAGAATCAGCATTCTATATTACAGAAAGATTTTCTCATCATGCAAACATTCTGCTTGAACGATCTTATTCAAGCACTCTCGCATCATTGCATGCAAATGACAAACTATTATACGGACAACTTCGTTGGAGTCATTGATGTTTTAACAAAGTCTCAAATGACTAGTTGACCTCGCAGTAAAAACAAATTCTATGTTTGTTTCCTACCTATACTTTGCTTTTTAGAAGAACCGGTAATCTAGACTGTTACTAGAAAGTTTTAAAAACCGTTTCTTGAACTTAATCCATCCTTCAAATTGTGCAAAGCAAGTCTCTTTTCCCTCGTCAGATGACTAGATGTTACTTTTCGATTCAGCAATACATATCAATATAAAGGAGTCTAACGATGAAATGTTTATAAGAATCCTAGTGTAAAGTAGATATAAGGCCCAACTTTTCGAAAGATGATGCTATCGGTTTCTTAGAGAAACGTTTCAATTATTTTCAAATTGTCTACGAACGATAGTCAAAATATGGTATCTTCTAGTTACGAAAATGATGGCTAGTGTATTACAACAAATCGATATCTAAATACTTGACTAATTTTCTGTATGTGTATATATAACAATAAATAATTAAATATTATATCTCGAAACGTTCTTATCAATCAAAAATCTACGATTTCTTTTATTTGAAGTCGAAGCCGAGCTATGGTACATAAAATATGACAAAATATCAAAAAATCATTTTATTTTCTATCTTAAGAAATTATTTTAAACATCAAGATATTCGTGTGGGCTGGGTTTGTAATGGTTATCTGAATAGAAAGTTTGTGAATGCATGATAAAACCAAAGATTGATAACTCTAACTTTCACAAGTATCTAATGTCGACTTGTCAAAATTGAATGTAATTATTAACCTGAATAACTGTTGAATAGCATAAAAATGTTCAAAAAAAAGTAAAGGATCTACATGGAAAACTGGCGAAGTTTGTAATGCGAACTCAATGGTAATCATACCTGAAACTGGTCTCATCATTTATAAGATTAGAAAAATGTCGACTTAATCTAAATATAGGGGAGTAGGTGGGTGTAGATTAAGATAAGACAAACTCATATCTACACCCTTTGTTAGTTGAAATATTTTTAATCGAAAGAATACAATGGAAATTACTATTATATGTATTATGAGTAGCATACGTAAATTTAATACAATTTAATAGAAGTTTTAGTAAATAATTTTTCAACATTCCCACAATACATATTATCTTTAATTAACTTCTTATAAATCCCTCGCTATGCAGATGAAAATAGATAAACAGAAGACGTTAGGAAAATTAACAGCAGATTCGAGTTTTTCTTGCTGATATTTTCTCCTAGATTTGGGTTGAGTCTGTAATTGCTTGAGTTAGATGCAGAATTCAATTTTGCATCAAACAGTACTATTTTCAACCAGGGCCATCTGGCAAAAATAGAAAGATTGGCCCCCTATACTAGGTTTTAGCTGTCATTCTCATGATATTTCGGCTGTTTATGTTATGACCATTGTTGTAGTCTATGTAGTTAAATAGTTTAGAGTAGCTTTTTATAATCGATTGTTCTCTGATAGTAGCTGCAACGTATGGTTTAGCTGAGTTAAGCCGTCTCAACCGTCTTCAGAATCTTATCAGAACCTACGAACATCTGGAAGAAATAGTAGGGAGACTTGGCTGTCAATGAGCATTATATGTCATAATGTGGTCGATCGCTTTGTCATCAGTGACGCCACCTGAATAGTGAACGCTGACGTTCCTTCATAGAACATAGCTGGCACCTATCGATATTGGTCAGTTGAAAATGATCGCTCATTATGTCTAAAATTGTCACACTTCGATTATATACAAAAATCGTTCTAGTATGTGAAGAAAAAACAACCAATACAGACTAGAGCTTATTTAAACACTTTTCCATTTTAAAGTGTACATTTTTCATGTATGAAGCACAGTACACAAACGATCTCTATTTTTTCAAAAACCCAAGTTTGTGGGTATCGTGATCTTCAGAGTCACTTTCTTTTATACAAAAACGTTTCATTTTAAAAACGTAAAAAGCGTCTCTTTGAGAGTGTCAAAACGCATTTTTTTCATCGATTTTGCCTGACCAAAATATAATCTTAAAAAGAACCATTATAGTTTCTAACGTGGAGAAGATAGCAAGTGATTTGAAATCACCAGAATTGTTTTTATTCGAGAAGCAACGCTTGGGAAGCAAAGAGGAACTTTATCGAAATTTTCGAAATTATTTTCCGTAAAATATTATCCAATTCAGAAAAAAAATCATCTATATCTTTTTTGAGTGTATTAATACGCTTCTAGACCAAATTCGATTCCAGGAGTGCATATCAGAAAGAAAAAGTAACCGAAACAGGGTCAGGGATCCAGTATTTGGAATTAAATCCGCAATTTTTAACCCATGGATCTTACTTAGAAATAGCATCAGTCGATGCAGAATTAAATTTTGCATCTAAACCAAGCAAGAGAAGACTTAATCCAAGTCTAGAAGTGAGTGTCGACAAACAAAACTGGAATCTGCTGCTAACTCTCCTTACGTTACCATGCACCCATCCACAGCCAGTATAGTTGAACAATGATATGAAGGAGTTCGTGAAAATCGAGATTATGTTTAATACGGAACACGATTAGGCCTATCTGTCATCAAGCAAACTCCGAAAAGTTCGAACATATTCATTGTCTTATTAATGATGACTTTCATACTACAATGGACGAATTTTAAGCACAACCTGATCCGAATCATAGCACCGTCCAATGAATGATTTCCGATCATCGTAAGTTTAAAAAATTACGATTAGTTCCTCTTCAACTTTCTTTTCGACCTTCACGATAAACCAGATGACAAATGATTAAAGCTTATAGATGTTATTCATCACTGCTTGGACTATCAATTTATGTAGTAGATAATAATATGATTGGACTAGTAAATAATTTTATATTCTTTTATGTATATCTCAAAAACTAGCTAGGCTAGACTCATCTGGTTTTTGTCAGATCATCATCTATATGACCTCTAGTATATTAGTAAAACATTTCAGATCAATCCATTTATCTGTTTAATTTTTATTAAAGATATAATCGCAGCATACCGTTTTCCATTCTTCCAGAGTTAGTTATTCAACTACTTATTTTTGCAATTGTTGTGCAAACTACATCGGATATTCTATTTGAATAGATATTTCGTGTTGGGAAATTGTTTTCGTCGTCTCCTATATATACCCAGATCACAGATAGACTTTTTTATACTCTTTTGTTCATGTGTCGAAGAAAGACGAAATTGTTTTTAAAAGCGCCGATTTGTAGAGAATCTTTTCTGTATGAAACTCTTAGATTTGAAATCATATCACGTAAGTTATGTACCTTCGTTACGCTATCAATGTTAGAAATAAAAAGCTTACTGTATAGGAGTCTCATCAAATATGGAGCAAATTTTTAGGCGTCACCATTTTAAAGATGAAGGATGAATTTTAGTTCAAAGCGCTATGTCATGTTTTATCTGATACATTCTTGTTTGGAGACTGACTCCACTCCTGTTCACAACAGCTAACGGAAAATAAACTCCTGAAATTTTAAACATCTCGGGTAAAAGATGGAGGCCAAATCATCAAAGTCTCCGTTGTTCAGAATTTACTGAAAATAAAAAAAATATTTGGATCATCTCGAAATAAAGATCTTTCTGACAAGCTTCGAACCAGTTTTGAGAGACTTGTCGATCTTTCGATCATTACAACACAAAGTACAGATTTGGTTGCAACAAAAAACCTACAAATTTATTGGGAACTACTACAACTCTCAAAGAGAATGATATGGAAATGATGATTATTCTATATTAATATCTTGAAGATTTAATATTGAAATATGTCAAAAACAATATGATACAATTGTAACAAATAAACATCGAACAGTATTGTTTGGTAGTTGCGCAGGTTTGGAATAGCATTTTAGTTTTATCTGTTATTCTTGATTATAGAGAAGTATGGTTATGTCGGAGTCAAAGGCACTAGTGGATCATGCAATGAAGAATATAGACGTTTTTATATTTCTCAAAATGAATTAGACATATGTCAATCGATTACAAATGATAGAAAAAGACAAGAATGTAAAGTGTATTTTATTTCCATTATAAAAAAATTATCTTGATACCAAATAGATCTCTTTGTACTCAAACCAAAAGCAGTCGAAACAATTACATGCACTCGGACAAACATTTTTTTTATCAAATAAAAAAATGCTTGTCTTCATCTATATCAATTCAATATACTTTTTCATTTTTTGACTGAAATTTCATAAATAAAGCAACTACAATATATGAATATGTTGAAGTATCATATGTGCTCTTTTATTAAAAAATCTAATAAATTCATTTGAATTTATATTCAGTATCAAATAATGTCATGAGAGCCTTCTCATTGCGACATCTTTGTACAATATTTTTTCTTCTCATGTACTCAACAAGGAGTTTCTATAGTTTCTTTTTTTTTAATGTCATATATAATCACGACTTATGTATGGCTTCCAAAAGGGACAATAGCGCACCAGAAATTTCTATAAATAGGAATTCATTTCGACACATGTATAAAACATAGGCAATAAAAAGCCAGGTAGCATTGAATAAAATAATTATTCTTAGTCGATAGGTAAATGCTTGACTTCGAAGATGTTTATGTTTTTCAATCAGTAATGCAAGTCCTCCGCCAATAATTCCTCCATACCAAAGTAAAAATAGAAGTGAACTTTCACCTAATAATAATTCTCCATGTTCTGCTTGTTGTGTATCATATTGAACACAACGATATGTTAAAATATTGAAAAGAACAACTGTTATTATTGTATATTTCACAGTCAATGACAGTTGTCTCTGATGACAATATATAATAGAACATAGATGAAATAAAGCAATTATTTGTAAAATAAGTAAGATTAATTTTTTTCGATAATCAATTGATGAACGTATATGGAAAATTTTCCAACTATTGTATGAACGTGAACGTGATGAACTTTTTCGAAAACGAACATAATTTCGACAATAACGTCGTGATTGATTAGATTTTATTATATAATTATCAGGTGATTGAATTGATGGTTTTCCATTGTCATTTATATTCATATGTTTTGATCTATTTCGACTTTTTCTAATTCTAGATAAATATATTCTTTGATCATATTGATTCATGATTTATTCTGTTTCAATTTAACTTAAAACAACAACTTCAGAAATATAAATAAAATAAATAAAATGTAAGATATACTCTTTTTTTTTCTTTAGTTTCTATAGAAATATATATTTTCAAGTAGATAACCAAATTTCAAATATGCCACAACGAACATCAAATAAAGTTAAAGTTTATGTTCGAACTCGTCCTACAAACAATTTTGCATCTGATATGATTGGAATAGGACGAGATAATCGAGTTAGTTTTTTATTTACAGTTTTGAACGAAAGCAGTCGCTTCCTCCCATAAAGTGTTTCTATTATTTATGATATTGACTGATCTTTTGGGTACATGCATGGGACAATAAATCCTGATAGCAAGCACTAATCCACCCTCCACCGATTTACATGTACTGGAGTTATGATTCATGTTCTTGTGAAACCGAACAAACTTGTCGTCGTACAGGAACTTTCTGATGAGGAAAATAATGTCTAAATTATAAGTCCAGTACATCATGGGAATCAATGGAGAACGGATTGATGCTTATGATCAGGGCTTATTGTTTCTTGCATGCATCCAAAATATCAACTCGCTATCATAAGGAATAGTAGTACTTCATGGGAAGTAGTTACTTTGGAAAAATAAATCTTTTATAGTCAATTAGTATTCATCGAACGCCTTCAGCAAGCGTTGTTGATAATAAAATAAATGATTGGATATTTCATTTTGATGGTGTATATAATAATGTGAGTCAAGAAGTTATTTTTGATTCTATTGCAAAAGATGTTGTTGATCGATCATTAGATGGCTACAATGGTTTGTTCTATTATTTATATATTATTCTTATGAATGAAATTTCTTTTCATTTAGGAACAATAATGTGTTATGGTCAGACAGGCGCTGGTAAAACTCATACAATGACTGGTTTTACAGAAAGTTATCAAAATCGTGGTATTATACCTCGTACTTTACAACATCTTTATCAAGAAATAAATGCTCGACAAGATTTTTCTTTTTCTGTTCGGTAATTAAATTTAAAATTTCAAAAAAACAAAAATTTAAATATGTTTTGTACTTTTAAGTATTGCTTATCTCGAAATTTATAATGATCAAATGTGTGATTTACTTCGTACATTAAATTCTCAATCGGATTATCAACAACAACTACAACAATTATCAATTGGTGAAGATTCAGGTTTAGTCTATGTTAAAGGATTATCATATCGTATAGCAAATGGTGAAGAAGAAGCATTAAATTTATTATTTGAAGGTGAAACAAATCGTGCTATTGGTCAACATGTACTTAATAAGCAATCATCTCGTTCTCATTGTATATTTACAATTCTTATTGAATGTCGATCAATGTTATCATCTGAAGACAAATATACAATATCAAAATTAAATCTTGTTGATTTAGCTGGTAGTGAACGATTGGCTAAAACAAATGTAAATTCATTTTTTTTTCTTCTAAATATATTATTATTATTGTTTTAAATTTAGTCGGAAGGTGTAACAAAACGAGAAGCAACATTTATTAATAAATCATTATCATTTCTTGAACAAGCTGTACTTAATTTATCGGATAAAAAAAATAATTCTCATAATTTTCGTAGTTCAAAATTAACTCATGCATTAAAAGATAGTATTGGTGGACGATGTAATACAGTGATGATTGCAAATGTTTGGCCAGAACTACAATATCTTGAAGAAACAGTATAGAGATAATTATAATAAAATGGTATAATGATGTTTGTTTTTTTTTTCTTCGAAATAGGTTTCAACACTTCGTTTTGCAAGTCGAATGATGTGTGTTCCAGCTGAACCAACTGTAAATGAAGTTATTGATCCATTGAAAGCTCTTGAAAATTATAAACGTGAAAATAAACATTTACGAGAAGAACTAGCATTACATGATGCATTAATTAATCGAAATGGTATTTCATATGAACCAATATCTGAACAACAATTATATGAAATTGAAAATCAATGTCGTCGATTTATTGATGGAACATTAGATGAAATTGAAGTAAAAAATCTTCGTCAAGTACAAGGTTTGTTGTTGTTGTTTTTTTGTCTATTTATATAAACTATGAAAAGTTTACTTTTTGTTCTTTGTCAATAGCTATTTTTAATGTATTCAGAAATATTTGTCGGTAAGTTAAACAAAACTATAGATTGAGAATTATGTATTGATGAATATTTAGAGCAACAGAAAAAGATACTGAGAAAAAACATCATGATCGGCATGTTCTTTCTGACAGATATGAATATGAACAACAAGACAATCAGAAGGTAAAATTTATTTACTTCTATTGATATTTGGAAAACGAGCAAGATGACCATTTACAGAATCATATTTGACACGAATCTCTTTTGCCATACTGATGAATATTGAAATCTTTGTCTTTTTCATATTAATCTTAGTTTTTATTTTAATAATATAAGTAAATTTAGTTATAAAAGCATTTCTTCATACTACTATGTCACGCTTTTACCGACAGATAAATCAATTTTTTGAAAAATCTAAGCATGCTTAGAAAATAATTAGCATGGAGATTTTCTATAATTAAAATGCATGAAGTGGAAGTCAATGGCTTTTTTTAACGTTAGTTTTTATTACTAATAAGTGCTCTAAACAAAGACGTTTAATGCTGATTTTTTATTGGGAATATCTAGTAGGAAAATCCATTGTTCAGAAATACACATATTTCAATTGTTTAATAAAGTAAAATTTTATTATTCATTATTTAGATGTTTAACGTTAACCAAGGTATGAATAGTATGGGAGGCACTGCTGGAGATCTTGATGGTCAAAATTTTGCTTTGGGTACAGCTTCAAAAGATCAACGAGTTAATAAAGATGCATTACTTAAAATGACACGAAATAAACGACAACCAGCTGCCGGTGCTACAACAAGTAAAACAGCAGGAGTACAACAAATGAAGTAAATTTCATTTTTTATCAAATAAATTTTCTTTTCATTTGATTTGTTTTTATCAAATATTAAATTAGTACTAAAGACAAATCTTCACCACCTGGATCAAAACCAGCTGGTATTGTTCTTCAACGAGGTATTACTGATGATGAACAATTTGCACGTGTTAAAGAACCAAGTGAAATGCTTGATACAAAAGATCAACGACCAAGGTAATATGAGAATGTTAGAAATGAATAATAATAGGTTTTTTTTTGTTTTCTTAAAAATCTACATAGTACTCCACCGGGTCGTGCAGCTGCGTTTGAAGAATTTAAACAAACACGAGGTGCAAATTTAAATAAAATTTATTTAGAAAATAAAGAAATAATGACAACAAAAAAGAAACAATTTGCTGAATTAGCACGACGTGTTAATCAAACTAAAGCTGAAATTGATAAAACACGTATTGAAGCTGAACGTAAAAAGAATGAACGATTAACAATGGGTAAAAAATTTATTATTTTTTTTGTCTTTTTATTCATTCAGTTGTTTTTTCATATAAAAGGTGAATTTTTAAATGAAAATGGTGAAACAATTATTGATGAAGAAGAATATGAATTTATTGCAAAATTACAAGAACTTAAAGGTACTTATCGTGCTGATTATGATCAATGGAAAAATCTTAAATCAGAAATAACCTATTGTCAAAATTTGGTTAATCAATGTCAAAATCGACTTCTTCAAGGTACAAAAGAACAAAATAACTTATTTAAATTCTGTTCGAAATAATTATCTTTATTTAGAATTTGATATATGGTATAATGAATGTTATTTAAATAAAAATAATCCCGGTGCTATGGATGATTTATTAACATCAAATAAAAATAATAATGATTATCGTGTTTATGATGATGCAGCTGAAAGATTTGAACGCATGCAAAAAGAATTATTACTTTCAGATCTTGATAGTATGCCATTTAGACAAGCTCAAATGCGAACAAATCGACGTGTAAGTTTAAAAAAAAGACAATTTGATTTGTTTTTTTTTTTGGAATTATTTCTGTTATTTTCTTTTGTAGCATATTTTTGATGCTGCAACAACACAAGGACCATGGAAACAAGCTCCATCAACAGCAGCTGTTAACAATAGTGGTTCTTTTCATGGAAGAACATATGATCAAGAACAACAATCTTCTCCATCGATATCTACAAGTGGTAATCGGCAAAAACCAATGGTACGATAAAAAAAAAACGATTAAATTTGCTATTTTTTTCTCTATGTTTGTGTGTAACAAAGCGATTCTAACTGAATAAATGTCCTCGTTTCATTTTATTTAATTCGTATTGTTTTATATATTCAAATAAAGTACTATTCAAAATGATAATAATAAGGTAATTTTGATTTTTTTCTTCTCTGATGCTAAATACCTAACTAAAGTCCAATAGATAATATGATTAGACCATGAAGTTCTCGATCAGACACACTATATATTAAGGTTTCATAGTTGTACTGTGTTGAAAGAGCATACATACTTTATCCAATAGGGAAACATTTAAAACAAATTTTTTTATATAGAACGATAGGCTAAGATCTATACGGTTGTTACTCCGTAGATCATTCTACCTGCTTTGGAAAAAAAAGATACTTTTTTGGGTCTAGAATTATCCCAAACTTTAAAAGAGGTAGAATATTTTCTTTGTAAATCTAAAAGCTGGCCATTGGTCAAAGTATTTTGAACATTATTGAAATGGCAAAAAAAAAAATCATTTTCATTTTTTCATCAAATATCCACTGTGAATCAATGATAAAGAAAACAAGTGAAATAGGCTCGTCGATTTCATTTCTAACCCTTAAAAATTCCAGATTGTTTTGATGACCTTCCTTTTTTGCTTCCAATAATTTCTCTTTACAGAATTCTAAATAGAGTTCTTTTTATATTTCTTCTCAAATAAGAAACAAAAAACAAAATTTATGGTTGTTTTCTTCTATTTCATTTTTCCATAATAAATCAATCAAGAATGATTCGCTACTTATT